GCCCCCCCCCCCCGCCCGCCATCTGCCTGCCACAGATTCTCATTGCCACGCTGCGGGTGGCCCTGCCCAGCGTCATGCGTTTCTGCTGCTGTGTGGCTGTCATCTACTTGGGCTATTGCTTCTGTGGCTGGATCGTGTTGGGGCCCTACCACGTGAAGGTAGGGGCTGTCCGGGGCGTGCTGCTCAGGATCCACAGTCCAGGGGTTCCTGTCTCCCCTCTCTAAGCCCACTTCCTAAACCCTCTGACCCCTGGCTTATCGGTTGTTGATGTGGGGGCACGGAATCACCCACCTTGGCCCCTGGTACCTTCCCGGGAGTTCTGCCCATTATTCCCTCTGACCCCCGGTGACCCCACCCTGCCCCCGGCCCCGCCTGTGGCTGCCTCTGACGGCACGACCCCACCGCCCTGCTGGCAGTTTCGCTCGCTGTCCATGGTGTCCGAGTGCCTGTTCTCGCTCATCAACGGGGACGACATGTTCGTGACGTTCGCCGCGATGCAGGCCCAGCAGGGCCGCAGCAGCCTCGTCTGGCTGTTCTCCCAGCTCTACCTCTACTCCTTCATCAGCCTCTTCATCTACATGGTGCTGAGCCTTTTCATCGCGCTCATCACTGGTGCCTACGACACCATCAAGGTCAGCGCCGGCCCCCACGCCCTCCCCCCAGCCTGCCTCCAGTGGGGCCAGCCCTCACATACTCGCAGCCGTGTACCTGGGGCTCCAGGTCCCCTTAGTAGGGTCTCAGGGCACATGAGGCAGGGTCAGGAGGGAAGGGTCCAGGGGGAGAAGGTGGGAGACTCTGAGAAGCCAGAGAGAGGTGACTGGGGTGGTGGTGCCGATCGCAGCCGCCAGTCTTGGTTTCATCCGCGTGGGGTTCTGGCCAGGTAAGGTTTCCTGAGTCTGGTTTTACCAAGCGAGAGACCAGGCTGTAGAGTTTTAGTGACTTGCCTGAGGTCAGCTGCTAAGCGGCCAGGCTCAACCCAGGACTGAGGGATTCCGGAAGGCCCCGCTCCTAATTCTTCTGTAGGGTGGTCTGGGCGGGAGCTCTTTAAGTCCAGGGAGTGGCGGTCCTGCAGGTTGCGGGGGTCAGAGGAAAGGGGTCGGAGTAGAATGTGGGGGTGGCAGGTGGGCCAGACCCTGCGCTGAGTGGGTATCTAGGAAACGCAGTGTATACAGATTAGTCTGGACCAGTGGGCAGGGTGGTGAACAGCTAGTGAAAGGAACGAAGGCTACAGAGGGTCCCCTGGTCTAGACTGGTACTGGGGTGAGTTTGGGAAAGTTTCTAGAATGTGCTAATACTAATCTTAGCCACCTGTGACTACTTAAATTTTGACTTGAATCAAAGTGAATTCCACACTCAGTTCCTCACTCACATCTTTCGAGTATCAAGTGCCCAAAAGCCAGTATGGCTGGTGACGACCAGGTTGGTCGGCACAGATAGCAAACCTTGCCATCATCTCAGAAACTTCTGGATTGACGAGATGAGAGTTGAAGAGAGAGAGAACCTGGGAGAAGGAACAGCCAGAGCAAAGGCCCAGTAGCCAGAAAGGACTTGGGGAAGAGATGCTGATTCCTCTACCAGGTTGGGAGGGGGTGAAGGCTCTGCTGAAAGCAGATGTGCACCCCCCCCCCCCCCCGCAAACATGGATAAACCATCCCACAGACACACTCTGTCACCCAGGCCCGAGGAGCCCCTGTGGAGCTTGCTCTGGTGCCTCAACGTCACACGTGTGTATCAGCTTGGGACGTACAAGCCCAGACCTTGATCCCGCTGTGTGCACCCAACTCAGTAGTTGCGTGTCAAGCACCCAGATTGTGTCACGTGTGGTTCTGGGTGCTGGAGCACAGCAGAGGGCACCAACTGACTGAGATGCGGGGCCACATATTCGGGAGGCCAGGGAAGGTCTCCGGGGGAAGCACACCATGAGGAAGGACAGGTGCAGGGGACACTGAGTATAGAGTGAGAGTGCGTGGGGGTGGGGGGAGGTGGGGAAGCTTGGCTGGTGGAAGGAACCAGGAGGAGATCCAGTTGGCTGGCTGGCGAGGTGGTGGTGGGGAGGCCAGACATCAAAGGGGCCACCCCGCGTTTCCCCGCAGCACCCCGGAGGTGCTGGCGCGGAGGAGAGCGAGCTCCAGGCCTACATCGCGCAGTGCCAGGACAGCCCCACCTCCGGCAAGTTCCGTCGAGGGAGCGGCTCGGCCTGCAGCCTCCTCTGCTGCTGCGGCAGGTTCGAGTTGGGTATTGGGGCTGCGGAGAGGGCGTGGGCCCGAGGGAACTGCTGCCTTCTGCCCCGCTGGCCGGCTGATACGGCTTCTCTTCCAGGGACGCCTCGGAGGAGCATTCGCTGCTGGTGAATTGATTCGGACCCGCTGCTGCTATTGGACATTAGCCCTCCGACTGCGGAGACTCACGCTTATTTATTTTTAGGGTTTGCTTTTAAAGGACCGGTTCCCTGCCGTGCCCTGAGGACCTGTGCCAGTCGGGTCGGACACGGGTGGGACAGGGGTGGGTAGGTGTTAAATAAACGGGAAAATAAACTTGTTCTCGGTTCTAGTGGGAGGGGCATTCCCTGCGCCCACAGGTCTCGGTCCCTTTAAGGCGTCGCCAAACAGCGTAACGGGCTGCGCCAGACAGTGGACCCTTGGTGGGGGGCGGGGCTGCGGGGCGCCCTGTGGTGAATGATTTAAAGGGGCCGCGCCTGCGGCGCCGGGCGGAAAGCTACCGGTGTTGGCGCAGAGTGGAGCCTGGCTGCGGCCCCCTGGGTGAGTCCGGGTTTTCGTCGCCCCCGCAGACTCGTCCCTTCCGGGATCGTTAGCGAGACCTTGATTTTCCTAAGATCTCTCCTCCGATTTCTGGTAGTCCCAGGCTCTCTTATGTTCCCATCCCCCTCCTCCCCCAGTTCCCGGCAGGTGTTTCCACGCGGGTAGCTGGGTGTGCGCTAGGGTGAAAGGGCCCTAGTTCTCCGTAAATTTTCCATGTAGTCTCTAAAGGGCCCAGTGACTCCCCCAAGTTTCCGTTAGTACTCCAGCCGTGCCAGAAACATTCTCATTCCCTCAGAAAAGCCCCAGTAATATTCCAGCGTTCATCCCGAGGCCGGTTCTCTAGCTCAAACGACCGCTGGGACGTGCCCATCCAGCTCCCAGTTTCCCCAGTAACAGTCCTGTATTCTTGGGAATCTCGGCAACTTTACAGTGACCCCCGGTAATTCCAGCATCCCTGGTTTCGTGTCAGTAATGGTGCCAGCATTGTTCCCAAAGTTCCAGTGATGCTCCACACTGTCAGAGACCCCATAACTTTATTAGTGCGTGACAGTAAAGCTCTAACATCAGCCAGGAACACCTTGTGACCCCGCCCCACTCCGAGCATCTCGGGATCCTTCCGAGACCTCGACATCACCCCAGGACCCCTTGTGTGGTAGTTTGCCGGCAGCACTCCCAGCGCCCCGGCCTGTGGGTTTCCGGAGGGGCAGGTTTAGGTCAGAAGCCAGTCGTCTCCTCGACCCCCATGGCTTGAAGACCCCAGTTTCCGTGGGAAGGTCCATCCAGCCTTCGCAGGGGGGTGCGGCCTAGCGTCTGCTGGGTCAGAATTGATCAATCCCGCAGGGAAGAAGCCAGGAAGGGGCCACTTGCGGGAGGAAGTCGGTCCTCTTGGGCGCCCGTGCAGTGGCTGCTGACTGGGTGTCTGGCAGGCTGCCCTTTAGCCCCAGGGTGGGGCTCTACCGCTGGGGCGTCTGCCGGCCCAGCGTATGGGTGACGGGAGCCAGGCGGGGAACCAGGGACCCCCCCCCCCCCCCCCCACTCCCTAGCCCGGGACTCGAGGTCCACCTGCACCACTTCTCTGCTCTTCAGTGCCCCTCCAGCTGTCCTCTGGCCAGCAACGCCATCCAGGTGGCCCGTACGAAAGGGGCAAGGCTCATGGTAAGGAGCAGGGCTTGCGGCAGGGGAGAGGGGGGCCCAGAGCGACGACTTGCACCGGTTCCTTCTACTTCGTATTCCCTAGGACTCAGGGCTACCAGACCTGCCTCCCAGTCTGAAGCAACTGATGGAGGCTCCGCTGCAAACCGGAATGGTAAGGGTTGGGGAGGTGTGGCGCTGCGGGAACTACAGTTCCCGAAATGCTCAGCGCTCATCGCGGTCCCATGAGACCTTGGTTACGCCTGTTCTGGCGGAACTACGTTTCCCGGCGTGCACCGCGGGCCGCGGAGCCGCCGGAAAAGAGTTGCGCCCCCGGGGAGGAAGCAGCGCCGGCCCATTCTGCAGATGGGGGCGTCGAGTCACGGGCCGTCTGTGACCTCCTCGGGGGCCGGGGACTTGGCGGAGTGGGATGGGGACGGGGGCGTCCCGGCCTCCGTGGAGGGCTCGGCAGGCCGGATATGCGATGCGCAGCCAGTGCCCTTCATCCCGCAGGTGCTGGGCGTGATGATTGGGGCTGGAGTCGCGGTGCTGGTCACTGCCGTATTCATCCTCCTGCTGGTGCGGAGACTGCGAGTGCAGAGTGAGGACCCGGAGGGCCCCTCCGGGGAGGCTGCGGCGTAGGGAGCTGAAATGTCCGGGGTCCTGAGGCAGTAGAGATGGGACTTACGGGAGTCTCCAGGCAGGGTCCTCATTTCTGGTCGCGTGGAGTCTGCGCGGAGCTCAGAGTGCTTCTCTCCCCACTTATCCCCAGAGACTCCAGCCCCGGATGGTCCCAGGTATCGATTCCGGAAGAGGGACAAAGTGCTTTTCTATGGTCGGAAGATTATGCGGAAGGTGAGTCTAGGACCTCCTGGGGTCCTTGCCGACCACACAGAGGTTCTACCCTTTCCCTCTTGCACCGCTTAGTAAGCCCGCCCTCCTTGAGTAAGCGTCTCTGGATCTGGTCCCTTCTCCCCTTAGGTCTGAACTGGCAGTTCACCCATCCCCCATCCTTAATTCTCCTAGGTATCACAATCCACTTCCTCCCTGGTGGATGCTTCCGTCTCCACCACTTCCCGGCCACGCATGAAGAAGAAACTTAAGATGCTCAACATTGCCAAGAAGTAAGGCTGTACTGGGTGTACCTGGCGCTGGGGGACCATCTCAGGGACCTTTTGAGTAATCAGCCCACAGCAAAGGGCCTATCTAAGGGTTCTTTGAACCCCACGGACTCAGAGGGGCTATCTCAGAGCTCTCCCACACCAGACAGGCTGTCTGTGGTGTCTCTGTGCCCTGAGGGCTCTCTCAGCTATGTTCCCCTACCACAGGGGTGTCCGTGAGCCCGTAACCTCCAGCCCATATCTCAGACACTTTATAATACACGTAGGGGTCTGCCTCCTGGTTTGCCGTGTGGGCTAGTTCATGGGTCTCCCCACCCAAGAAGTGATTCATTGGGGTTCACTCAGGTGTTTCTGTGACCTGCTGGAGGGGCTGTCTCTAGCTTTTGCGTTCTGGGGGTATCTCTGCAATTTCTCTCCGTCAAAAAGCATCTTTCTATGTTGCCTGCCTTAGAGTTCTTCCCACACTAAGGAGGCTGTCTTAAGCATTTCTGTACCGCCAGGAGTTATTTCAAGAATCTTCTTGCTTTAAGAAGCATAGGAGGGCATGTCAGGGGCCCATGTCATCAGCAAAGGGCTATCTCAGAGTCTGTGAGAAAGGCCCTCCCAGGGATCTTTCTAAGTTGGAAGCTGGCTCTGAGGTCGGTCTCCTGACATCATGGAATATACCTGAAGGTCTGTTTTGAGGGCATCATCCCAGGGCTGTTCATGATCAACAGTTGTGTGATCACACAGCTTTTTAGGGCTTGAGAAGCAGCGGGTAGCTTTAGATTCTCTGTGGTCAGTTGAGGGTTTATATCTCGTGTGTGTTTATGTCGCGGGGGTGGTCTCAGTGTGTGCATACCCTTAAGGAGCTACACTGATGTCATGACCTTCAGAGGGCTATCTCAGCTCTCTGTGAACTGGGTACGGGCTAGCCCAAGATCTCTCTGATCAGAAAAGGAGCCATGTCTGGATTTCTCTGTATCATGGAGTTTAATTCGGGGGTCTGGTCATACTAAAGGGTCTATGTCAGGAGTCTTGTGACCAGGGGAGGGATCATCTCAGTAGTAACTGTGCCTTGCCAGGAAGGGTTCTCCCAGGTCTATGGTTAGCAGAGGAGCTATATCTGTACTCTCCACACATGATGAGAGCTATTTCAGGAGTCGTGACCATCAAAGGTGTCATCTCAGGGTTCTTGATATCTGGGCATAAGGGCTAGCTCAGGGATCTTTGCAAAGATCAAAACAGTTGTACCGGGGGGTGACTGGGTGGCTCAGTCGGTTAAGCGTCCGCCTTCGGCTCAGGTCATGATCTCGCGGTCCGTGGGTTCGAGCCCCGCGTCGGGCTCTGTGCTGACCGCTCAGAGCCTGGAGCCTGTTTCGGATTCTGTGTCTCCCTCTCTCTCTGACCCTCCCCCGTTCATGTTCTGTGTCTCTCTGTCTCAAAAATAAATAAACGTTAAAAGAAAAATTAAAAAAAAAAACAAAACAGTTGTACCAGGGGTCTCCTCATATGATGGAAGCCACCCCAGAGATCTATTTGCATTAGAGAGATTTTGTCAGGGTCTAGTCTGTGCTGAGAAAGATGGTCTCAGGGTCCCATGGTGAACAGAGATGCTATTTTTGGGGGCAGCCCGTATCTTACGTCAGGGATCTGCCTAACTACAGGTTCCATCTCAGAAGCTTACAATTAGTGAAGGAGTAATCAGCAAATTCATTTTGTGAGGGATCAGATCAGTAAACATTTTAGGCCTTACAGGTCATTCGATCCTTACAATTACTCAACTTAGCTGTTGAGCGGAAGTAGCCGCAGGTAATATGTAAACGAACGTAAATGAAAGTGAATTGCGTGTGTGCCGATAAAACTTTATTTACACAAGTGGGTAGGAGGCCAGAGTTTGCTGATCCCTGTCTTTTGTGATTTGGGGGAAAGGCTGTGTGGAGTCTCAGGTCTGCCCGAGCCCTCTCCCTACCCGCCCCCTGCACCCTTCTCTTCCCACCAGGATCCTGCGCATCCAAAAAGAGGCCCCGACACTGCAACGGAAGGAGCCCCCGCCCGCGGTGCTTGAAGCTGACTTGACGGAGGGTGACCTGGCTAACTCCCACCTGCCCTCCGAGGTGCTCTACATGCTCAAGAATGTCCGGTCAGTGTTGGGGTGCAGGCGGGGGGCTGCAGAGCTGGGGGCTCACCTGACCTCCTGCATTCCTCCTTCTCCTCCTCCATCCCCCATCCAACAGGGTGCTGGGCCACTTCGAGAAGCCGCTCTTCCTGGAGCTCTGCCGACACATGGTCTTCCAGCGGCTCAGCCAGGGTGACTACGTCTTCCGGCCAGGCCAGCCGGATGCCAGTATCTATGTGGTGCAGGATGGGCTGCTGGAGCTCTGTCTGCCAGGGCCTGTGAGTGGACCACCCAAGGGGGCACCAGAGGGAGATGGGCAGGGGGAATGGGCACTGGTTATCGGGATGGGCATTGCTGTCAGTCAGCAGGGTGGTAGTCT